TTTGAAAATACCCAGCGAGGGAGCCGCGCGAATGTCAGGGGGAAGGTTGTTCCAGAGGCGAGGAGCCACCGCCGAGAAGGCCCGATTTCTTGTCTTTTCTTTCCAGGCCTCCCTTGGCGTTAGGCTCCTCAGCCTCACCTCCTGACTCACGTTGTTCTGTTCTTAGGGCACCAGTTTGGGACGGGGTATGTGTGTTTATCCTAATTCTTGTTTCTTACATTGTTATAACAATGGTTAATAGTTCTCAAAGAGCTTAACCTGAAAATATCATTTCCTCACATTAGGGGGCAAAGGTTGGAAGGCTCCGCCCAGGGAGTTCTGGAAGCTGTAGTCTGTAAACAAGCCATGTTCTGAGTATGTGAGCCATTTCAATTCACAGAGTGGTGAAATTTTTTCAGCGACATGCCTCTGGCATTTCGGTCCCCTTCTCTTACACATCATCCACTGCTCTAACCAAAGGGCACGTGGTGACCTCTCCTCTCCAAGACTACCCACCCTGGCAGGAGGAAAAGGTTTCTTTTAAGGTTAATGCTGCTGATCTGAGAAAGAATGTTGTCCTCACTAAATTGCTTCTTGCTCTGAGAGCCTTTCCTGCCATTTCCCATCTCTTTTCACGTCAGCACAAAGGAGAAGGGAAAATAACAGAGAACCATGTTCTTTCTCTGTACTACAAATGAAAGAGCAAGAGATACCTTTACACCGAAGGCCAAAAAATATCATCAGTGTGCCATGAGAAGCCCAAAGGAAGCACAAAACCACTTCTGTTGTGGAAAGATAAGACAGAGGACGCTCATTAAGCTAAAACTTCCACAACATAGAGAGGTAAATAAGGGAATGGCACAAAAATAAAAAAGCCTGAAAAGAAGCATGGAAATATATATTATAAGGCAAACAGGGAAAGCCCGCGACTGTGTTTGGCTTCTAAATCTAACATGACAATCAGAAAGGTATTGGAAGAAAGAATCAGCGGTGGGGTTGGTGTGTGTGCAACCCTATCCTCCACCTGCCAGTTCTTCTCTACTAACCTCCCACTTGCCAATACAGTGGTGCCCCGCATAGCGAGGTTAATCCGTTCCGGATTAACCCTCGCTATGAGGAAACATCGCTAAACGGGACGCAAAATGCCACTGGAATGCATTAAACTTAGTTTAATGCGTTCCAATGGCTTCTATACTCACGGTTAAGCGAAGTTTCCTCATAGCGCCGCCATTTTTGCGCCCTCGGTAAGCGAGGGCAGGGTGCGCAAATGGTTGCGGCGGCCATTTTGGGTCATCCGGTGGCCATTTTGGAGCCGCTGAACAGCTGATTTCCTGGCGTCGCAATGTGAAGATCGGTAAGCAAAACGCTTACCGATCTTCGCAATGCGAGTTTTGGCCATAGAGGCCATCGGTAAGCGATCGCATTAGCGATCTCAAAAAAGAGATTGCTATGCGATTTCTTCGGTATACGGTGCGCTCGTTAAGCGAGGGACCACTGTATTCCCCATTTGTTGCGTGCGTAGTTCCCAGACTCAAAATAAGTTCTTACAGGAAAGTAAAATATCTGAGGGCTCAATCTCATGTGAAAGATCCCCAGTCATACTGATTCTTTTCATCCTTCTGTTGTACCAATACATTTTTCCAGCAGTCATTCTGTTGTACCAATACATTTTTCCAGTAGTCACGTGGTATATTTATTTATTTATTTATTTATTTATTTATTTATTTATTTATTTATTTATTTATTTATTTATTTATTTAATATCCTGCCTATTTGGTCAACATATATATTGGTGGGAGTGTTTACATTATTTTGATATCCCTTTAAAACCATTTAAAAAAATATTTATACAGCCAACCTTAATGGTACCCAACAAAACTTCTTCGATATTGAGACTTGCTTAAGAAAGACAGGGTGTTAAAGACTAGAGAGGAGCTGGAGGAACAGAAAGTGTTCCAAGATTGGTGGATGAGATTACTATTAGACTTGAGATACGTAAAAGATAAACTAATGGACTTTTATGAAGAACAAACGACATTTGATAAACTACTGCTATGGACAAGTGATAAAATAATTAAATAAATGTATGAATATCTCTTAAATATGAAAATGGAAGATGAAGTGGTGAAAGACTGTATGATAAAATGGGCACAAAAGACTGTATGATAAAATAGGCACAAAACATAATATTGATTTAGAACACTGAACACACATTTGGCAGAATAATATTAAGCTTACAAAATCAGTAAATTTCAAAGAAAATATATACAAGATGTTTTATAGATGGCATATGACTCCAGCAAAACTTAAAATGTATGAAAATGTTTCTAACAAGTTTTGAAAATGTAAAATACAAGAGCTTATTGTATTTTTCTGTGTATAAGGCCATACTTTTGTCTAAAATATCTAGATTAAAAATTGAGGGTCATCTTAGACACGAAAGTGCTGTATCATGATTTGTTTTGGATACACTTTACTGATATACATGTGTGCACCCAACGCCGGGAGGCTGAGCCTGGCCGGGATGGTCCGGCCACTCACCTCCTGGCCGCGGCGGCAGCAGCAGGGACCCAGCGCTGGGAGGCTGAGCTGGCCAGGGTAGTCCAGCTGTGTGCCCTGGCCTTGCCCTCTGCCATGACCGACCCCGCCGGGGAGTGAGTGTGATCAGAGGAGGCTTCGGACTGGTAAATTAAGCTGCTGCTTTTTGCTTTTTAAAAACTGTTCTGGATGGCTTTTGCAGGGTGGGTTTGGGCTGGGGGAGTTATGTTTCTATGCTGTGTTGTTTTGTTTTTTGGTGATTTTTTTTTTTTTGCAGTCCCAGCGTGGGAATTGCTCTAATGTTTATTTTTGGGTTTGTTTGGCTTTTGCAGCCCCAGCACGTTCCTATGGGGCTTGAAGTGTTTTATTTTATTTTAATTTTTTTGGTATTTTTAAAAAAGGTTGGAACAGATTAATCGCGTTCCCATGCATTCCTATGGGAAATGGTGCTTCGACTTATGACCATCCTGAGTTACGTCCATCTTCTGGAATGGATTATGGTCGTAAGTCAAGGCATCACTGTAACTATATCTGGATGAGGAACAGCTTCTCTGTTGAGGTTTACATTTTCCCTGGCAGGGGAAGACCAGAGACAACAGCTGGCAGACTCACTCCATTCCTCCCTTCTCTCTCTCTCTCTCTCTCTCTCCTCCTGTTCTTTCTCCTGCCAAGTGGGCTGTCAAGGGAATAACAAATTGATTTTGCAAGTGGTGAAAATTGACACTCTGGTTTCCCATCTCTGAACTTCTTATTCTCTTTATTAAAACTGCATAGAAAAGGATCTTAGCGCAATCATAGGTAGATTTTTATCACTGGGCAATGCATCACTGATGTAAAACGGGCAAAAGACCCAAAAAGAGCAAAAGGCAAAAGATGCAAACAAATGGAAAGAAGGGGCAAACCTAGTTGGAAAATATGGAAACTGGGGAAGATAGTCCAGAAAGGACAAGGAACAGGCCTTGCAGACCACAGGATTACACGAGGTGTAAAAGGGGATATCTTTTATAGAGCCACTTAAAAAAAGTCAGTAAGTAGCAAGCTTTCATGGATGCAATCCACTTCCTCACGCTAAGCACACCTCCCTTTATGGATAGTGCAGAAAAACTGTAGACAACAGTCCAAAATTGATGACCCATGTCTGTGATAGACAATCTTGAGGCTGGGCCTCCTATGTCTCTGCAGCAAGACTTGGAACATTTGTATCCTTGCTCTTGAGACCAAAAGGCTGCCAATTACCCTGTGATTCTGCCCCCCACTCCCCACATCTTGCTTGCTTGAGACATAAAGTTTCTTTTAGATGTGGGCAAAGATATGACAAAGACTGACCAGCTTCTGTCACAAGTGTGGGAGACTTGAAAATCACTCTTTTACAACAGAATCATTACAAATCAAAAATACAGAGGCAAACAGCTGAGATAAAATTTATATGCATGGTGGACACCCATAGAAATGGACTGAGTATCATCCTAGGTTTCTTAAGTCACCAAACGTAACATTTGTGCTGTTATCCAGTGCCGCTGTTATTTTCTTCACGGCTATCAAACCTGTCTCTCATCCCAAGGCTCCAAGGTAGAAGCTGTTAGTATTCCCTACATTAACACATGGGGTTCCTCTGCTATCTTCTTTCACCTTTATATTTACTATTCTCTTTTTCTTTCCTCTTGAGATTCCCAATCTTCAACTGCCATCCACCCCACCCTTCTCTCTTCTCTCTCCCCTCTCATCTTTGCCCAGGCCTGGTGTCGGTTTTCTGTCTCCTGAGAACACCACAAGCAATAAATTACTGCATATAAATGTAACATAAATCAAGAGCCAATGAATATTTAGTATGAAACTGATATCTCATTCAACATTTCATTCTGTTTCCATATGTCTGATGAACTGGGTGTGTCCATGAAAGCTCACATTAAAATATAAGTCTTTAAGATGCCACATGTTTTTCGTCATGTTTTATTTTGTTTTTTAAATTTTGCCTGATACGCTAACACAAGTCAGAGGTTATACAGTGGTGCCCCGCATAGCGACGATAATCCATGCAGCAAAAATCGTCGCTATACGGATTCGTCGCTACGCGGAACAAGGAAGCCCATAGGAACGCATTAAAACACGTTTAATGCGTTCCTATGGGCAAAAAAACTCACCATTCTGCGAAAATCCTCCATGCGGCCGCCATTTTCGCTGCCCGGTAAGTGAAAAATCCCGGCAAAAACCCAGCAAGTGGCCATTTTATTTACCCAGCGGCCATTTTAGAACTGCCGATCAGCTGTTAAAAAAACCATCACTATGCGAAAATCGGTAAGCGAAATGCTTACTGATCATCGCAAAGCGATGTTTTACCATTAGAAACATCGCAATGCGATTGCTTTTGCGATCGCAAAAAACACATCGCTATGTGGATTCGTCGTTAAACGAATCGCTCGTTATGTGGGGCACCACTGTAATTTGGTTCGTTCACCAGGCAGAAGCAGCCAATTGTGCCAAATTAAAAGTCAGATTAATGTTTTTACCTGGTGAACATAAGGAGGCATTTCTTCATACTCTGGTCACTTCTGGTTGACATGGTTTTGTGATACACTGGTTCCAATCAGGAAACAAGACCAGGTAATTAGAAGCTCCAGAATGTAAGGGTAAATTCACATGGGGAAATTTTCAGAAGCATCCCTACTTGAAAATCTCCTAGCTCTGTTGACTGCCCCATGTGTGCCAGTAGACATTAGAGTGCTCATGCATCCTACTTTGCTGATAGCAGTACTCTTTCCGAAGATATTCTCAGTTTAAAGGGTTGCCTAGTGCAAGTCTGGGTCAAACAGAAGGGCTGAAATCTTGTTGCTAACCTTAGTAAGTCACAACTAGAGTAGGTCCATTGATTCAGTGGGGATTTTGGTGACACAACTTCTACTCCTACTCTAGTTGTGACTTATTACACTAATCAGCAGGATTTGTCATAAGAAATGAGAGCCTTGAGGGAACCTTGTGGTTGTCCATGAACCTTCAGGCCCTGGATAGGAGACTGAATAGAAAGACCGACCAGGGACACCAGTGGTCTCCTGGTAAGATGATCTGTATTTCTATTTAAATTCTGATAATTATTTCTAAATTTGCAATTATACACACAAATTAGCTCATGCTAATTTTATGCAAAATGTGATTTTTTTTGGTTCTCTCTCTCTCTCTCTCTCTCTCTCTCTCTCTCTCTCTCTAATTGCAGAAGGCTAATGCATGTATCCTTTCTGGAATGCCACCCCACCTGGTACAGGCATATAAGGCCTTACATGAGAAAAGGAACAGCACAATTTGTAAGAAGTTTATTATTGTGGGACCTGGAAGACCTTCTATTCTGTTACCGAATGAGTAAAAATTACCTTCTAAATGCGTGTTCTGTTGCAGTATTTCCTCCAGTAAGGGAATATACTGGATACAGGAGAAATCATTAATTTGGGCAACGAAAATATTCATGGAAAATGGCCAAACCGTTGTAATAGATATTAGATGATTAAAAGCTTTAATAAAAGAATAGATTTTATGCTTTCTGTGTTGTCTCTAAGCAGGAACCTGGTAATTACCATTGTATATTTTCAATAAATGAAACATCCTTTCTTTTTTTCAGAAGGGAAAAACCTCCACACTGGATTGATGAAGAGTTGCATAGATCGCTATGTCTAAATGCCATACGCTTTCAAAAATATACAGTTATGCATTCAGTTCATCCTGGCAGATACTCACCAGTGTTATGTGCTTCTAGCTGTGACAGGGAGTTCACAGCAACTTTGCATAAAGAACAATAAAGCAAGTTTTTGGCTTTCTCTTCCTCTGATTCCAAAATGGCATGGGGTGTTCCATTTGTACGACTGGAGGAAGCTGATGATGACCGTGTTGCTGTGGTTGTGACAGCTTCTGTTGTTATAGACTCAGCTATAAAAGTGACCACTTCAGTATTTGGAAGCTGACCAGAGTCGTTAGCTTTCAGTTTTGCTCTGTCTTCTGAGAGAGAGAGAGAGAGAGAGAGAGAGAGATTATTTGTTAATTATCCTTAATTCTGATTATATCAATTTGCGTCTAAAATAAAGCTTGGAAACGTTTTTAGACAACTCTCAGAATTTCCCAGCCATTGAGTAGTCCAGGATACCAATTATTTAGTTTATCTTTGTTCATGTTCTGCAGTATGAACAGCAAATGAACTCAAGGATGAAATAAGTTGAAAATGTTTTTTTTCCCCAAAGCTTGTGTGTGTTTGCACCTTGGAAAACTAACCGTATTAACATAGTTCATTTTAGTTCCAAGTTTGGTGGAACACTGGGAGGGGCTCCCAAGCAGTCCCAGGGGTCAGTCAGTCAGTCTGTCTGTTCCCTGTGCCTTCCATCCCAACCACTCTGCATGTGATCTCCCCAGAGTGATCTTATCCTTGGAAGGTGGCTATACTATCCCCTGTGAAGCTGTCAAGTGTGCCTGAGATGCCGATCCAAGCGGAGAAGGAGAAGATGTCAGGAGGGGCTTACCCAGAGAGTCTGCAGGGCAGGGAACCTTCTGGAAAGAATGAGACTCAGGGGGAGGAGTTAGGGTCTGAAGAGTCTAGAAGGAAGATCCTAAGGGTATAAAAAGGGAGGGAGAAGGAAGTAAGGGGGGAGCAGGTTGTAAAGGAGGAGGGAAGAATCGAAGAATTCCCGGTGAAAGGGAGACCCGAGTGGAGGGCCTGGAATGGCCCTAACCCTGACCCACCCAAGGGAGCACTGCAAGCCTTAAGCTTCAGCTGGCCCTGGGGTGCTATAAACGCAGAGGAGGCAGAGCCTGACCAGATGAACCCCATCCCCACCCAGTTGCAATGCTAGAGGAGGCAGAGGCAATTCAACCACCTCCAGCCGTTGGAAGCAGAGATGTGGGCCTTTCAGGACACAACCGCCTCCTCTCCGGGCAGAGGACAGAGGCGGGGGCAATTCTAAGTCCGCAGAGATGATGAGGGTGAGGGTGAAGCAAGGGCTCCCCATCTTTGGACTGAAGAACTGCTCAGAACTGAACTGGCCGCTGTGGGCTGAAGGAAGACATGGGCCTATAAAGTTGGTTTGGTTGTTATCTCATTGGTTTGGTTATTAAAGTTTATATTGCAACAGAAATGTTGACTCTGACCAGTGTGTCTGGGCTTGTGGGCTCCTCTGATGCCTCCCCCCCCCCAGGAGAACTTGAGGGGCACATACAGAGACACAATTGACAGTAACCACAAGGAGAACACACAAAACCCTCTGGAGCCCTCTATCCTGGAAGGAAAAGACAACCAGCACCCCAGTAATGAACACTGACATTCTCGTTCATGGAACCCAGCCCCAAGAACATATCGGTTTGTTGTTTCTAATGAAGTGAACAGAAAACGATTTGCAGGAAAATGGCAGTAGGGAAAACTGGGCCTTCCTTTTTTTGTGTTAAGCAGGGGAAAATATTGTTATATTGGACCAAACAAAGTTTTATTTTAAAAAGAAAGGAGGAAGGAAGGAAGCAGTTGCTGAGAGTGGCTGGCGCCCTGTTAAACTGCATGGGGGAACCATTCAAGATGGAGGGCCTTTTCCAAAGGTAAAAACCTGAAAGGTGGCAGGTGGGGCATAAACAGCAACATGTTATAAACATTTAACAGAGGCAGCTGCACCTGCCAGGCCATAATATTAATCGCGACCCGACTGCTAGGTGTAGCAAGGAGTAACAGAATGCGTTCATTTTCGGTACTGACATTCCAGGATCTGTACTAGAAGGGGCATTAACTGACACATAACATAAACCCTCTTTTCATTTTAGAACATAAAACAAAGACAAGGGAGACTTCAATAAAATGAATTATGTTTACAATACTACGTGGTGTAGGGCTGCAGACAACAACTGCCATGCACAGTTTTCATTAACATGGTACACCGGGAGATGTTTCCAATGGACACCCTGAACAACTTATTACAGTACAGTATGTGCGAACTCTTGCCAAAGGAAGTAAAATTACATTACCATCAATGTGGCTTTCTTTAGCCCTGCTGGACAGAGAACTAGGCCAGGAGGATGAATAAACCTATTTCTGCAGGCCGTGACTTCCTCCACAAATACAGGAACTTATTTCACAGACTTTTTAACATTATATAATAGACAGATAACAATAAAGCCAGTCTTGATATAACACATGTAGTAAATTGATGCACAGCAGTTCTCCTTTCAGGACATGCTCCAATTGTTTTATTCATCTAATACTTTTGTTAGATTTCACATAGCCGCCCTCCAAGAGCTCCTATCAAAATAACTCAGAAAGATAAATCATAAATATATAATTATTTATTTGTTAAACTTACACCCAACTGCCCCCCCCCCGGAGAGCTTAATAAATACTATTTTAATCCTCAGAACCCCTGTAAATTAGGGTAAGCTGGCCCAAGGCAATCCATTCAGGTATACTCTTGAGTGAGAATGGAACATGGGTCTCCTCATTCCTAGTCGGTCACCCTGATCACCATTTCACTGACTGTCACATGCAAGACCACACTGTGTTAGTGTACTGGCGAAGCAACAGAGCTGTAAACCAGACAATTCTCAGGTTCAATTATGCTTTTGTTCATTGTTTGCCTTTGACAAATCAATATCCCCTCTGCCTGATTTACGGGGTTATTGTAAAACAGGGGTGGGAAACTTCAAGAGGTGCGGCAGTATATATAGCTACACCTGCTCCTTGGAGAGCCATACCTGTTCCTGGATCCTAACCCATTTCCCCCCACCAAAAAAAAATAAAAAATAAAAAAAAAATTAAAAAATTAACTGAAAAAGCTCTCTTGCATCTTCTTACTGAAATATAGGAATTTTACAGTCCTAGGCTACTCCTGAGCCTGTTTCTCATTTTGAAAGAGGGGGGGGGGAGGTTCCCTAAAGACTCTCCAATGTGGGAGAAAAAATTTTTAAAGAGGAAATTGGACAACCATCTGTCAGATCTAATTTGATTTGGATTCCTGCCTTGAGCAGGGGGTTAGACTCGATGGCCTTATAGCCCCCTTCCAGCTCAATTATCCTATGATTTTATGATTCTGTATAAACAGGTGCCTCCAAGAGCACTTTTACATGACAGTTAATTTTTACCTTCAACCCTATGTATATTCCCCCTGTTAACCTCATCCCTGTCCTCCCCTCCTTCTGTTTCTTCTACTTGAATCCAGCTTTGGATGGCAAATTCACAGAATTGTGTTTTTACATATTATTCTGGAACATTC